AAACAAAAGTAGAAAATGATTTCCCATCAAAACAACCCTCACAAAAGGAACTTCTAATTATAAATTTAGAGAATTAATTGAACATGACCTCCAAAAGAAATCTGAGGTACAGAAAGTGTTAATGAATAAGTGTAAACATGAGAGTAGATATAGACAATGAGAGTTTATAGACACATACAAAAATAATGATGTCTTTTTTGGTAGTGTTAAGAAAACAAACAAAAGTAATAGGTACCATTATCATGTAAGGTTGGAGGCAGATGATGAGAACAAAATATTCTAAAATCTTTGTATTTTCAAAAAGAAGGTGTCTTTGAACTTTGAGTATACATATTAAAAACAGCTATGAAAGCATAGTCTAGTGCATAAAATCATGTCTTTTGATAGAGTTCTGTAAACACCTTTTTACAGTAGACACCTAGGTATTTTTAAAACCTACTTACCAACTTCCTATCACCCTTATAATTTAAAGCCTTTCAGTAGGTGACATTGGGTTTCCAAATAGAACTCTCATTCATTACTCCCATCATGTTTATTTTTTTATATGTTTTTTGTTTTGTTTTGTTTTGTTTTTAATTTCAGAGAGTGCATGCAAGCAGGGGAGAGGGGCAGAGGGAGGGAGAGAGAGAGAGAGAGAGAGAGAGAGAATCTTAAGCAGACTTTACACTCAGTGTAGAGCCTGACACAGGGCTCAATCCCATGACCCTGGGATCATAATCTGAATGGAAACCCCATATAAGGGAAACCCCATAAGGTAATCAGCAGGTTTTTCAGGAGAAACTTTGTAGGCCAGAAGGCAGTGACATGATACATTTGAAGTGCTGAAAGAGAAAAATCTGTATCCAAGAATACTCTATCCAGCAAGGCTATCATTTAGAGTAGAATGACAGTGTCTCAGACAAACAAAAAATAAAGGATTTCATGACAACTAAACAAACCCTACAAGAAATATTAAAAGGCACCCTTTAGGTGGAAAGGAAAGACCATAAGTGAGAGTATGAAAAGTAGGAAACACAAAAGGAGTAAAAATAAGTAAATCTGTAAAAACCAGTCAAGGGAGTCACAAGATAAAAGGATGTAAAATATGACACTATATACCTAAATTGTGGGGGTGAGAGGAGTAAAGAATGGTTTCCAACTTAAGTGACCATCAACATAACAGAGACTGCTGTATGTGGAAGATGTTATACAAACTAATGGCAGTCACAAATTAAAAACCACTAATAGATATGCAAAGAATGAGGAAGAAATCCAAGTACAGTAAAACCTTGGTTTGTGAGCATAATTTGTTCCAAATTGTGATCCAAAGCATTTGTGAGTCAAAACGAATTTCCCCAAAAGAAATAGTGGAAACTCAGATGATGCTTTCCACAACCCAAAAATATTCATATAAAAATGATTATAATACTATAATATAATACAAAATAATAAAATAAAAACTATAAACAAAAAAATTAACCTACACTTAACTTTGAAAACCTTCATGGCTGGTGCAAGGGAGACGAGAGAGAAGGGTTATTTTATAGGACAACTTTCACTATCACTAACAGAATCACGGGTGTGGAATCTTTTTCATTTTGTGCAGTTTTAAGAGGGAGCCTATCCAATGCCACTTGCTTTTGCCTTCTTTTGAGGATTTCCCACAAATGTGACATTGCATTGATGATCACCCACAATCCCCCAGTGAGAGAGAGAAGAACCATTGGCTCAGGTGTGATCATGTGACATTAGGCATCACATACTACTTGTATTGCAAGATATTGCTCATTTATCAAGTTAAAGTTTATTAGAAATGCTTGCTTATCCTGCAGAACACTCACAGAAACAAGTTATTCACAATCCAAGGTTTTACTGTATATCACTAAAGAAAGCCAGCAAACCATGAAAGAGAGCAAGAGAAGAAAGGATAGGAGAAAAACTACAAGAATAAGCCCAAAACAAGTAACAAAATGGCAATAAGTACACATCTATCACTAATTACTTTGCATATAAATATACAAATGCTCCAATCATAAGTCATAGGATACAAAACTACAATGTAATATTACCTCATGCCTGTCAGACGGCTAAAATCAACAACACTAGAAAAAGCAGGTGTTGGTGAGAATGTGGAAAAAAAGGAACCCTCCTTCACTATTGGTAGGAATGCAAGCAGGTACGTACACTGTGAAAATTTTCCTAAAAAAATTAAAAATTTAAATTAAAATAGAACTATCCTATAATTTAGTAATCACAGTACTGGGTATTTACTCAAAAAATATAACAACACTAATTCAAAAGGATATATGCACCCCTATGTTTATTGTGGCATTATTTACAGTAGCCAAATTACAGAAGCAGCCCAAGTGTCCTTCAATAGATGAATGGATAAACAAGTATATATAATATTACTCAGCCATAAAAAAGAATGAAACCTTGTCATCTGCAACAACATGGATGGATCTAGAGAACATAATGCTAAGTGAAATAAGTCAGTCAGAGAAAGACAAATACCATATGAATACCATTACTCATATGTGAAATTTAAGAAATAAAACCAGGAGAGAAAAAGAGAGACAAAGGAAGAAACAGACTCTTAAGTGTAGAGAACTAAACTGATGGTTACCAGAGACGATTTGGATGGGGGGAATGGGTAGGTGATGGGGATTAAAGATGTTAAACAACAACAAAAAGTAAGAGGAAAAAAAAAAGCAGTTTTCTCTAAGTTCCTTTCCAGCATTAGCTAGTTCTTTGCCTTAACTTAGGTAAATTATCCATGATTTTAAATGAAACATCCAAATTTTTGAAAAGTTGGTGGATCGGTTAGAAGTTACCCAGTTAAAGTTTTGGGTGAGATAGGTTTAAGACAGGGCTAGAAACCAGCTGGTCTGCTTTCTAGTCTGGTGGGTTCAGCACACCACGCTGCCTTTGGTCCTGCTCTGCAGTATGCAGTAGTTCCTGTGGTCACTTCTGTGTTTCTGTGTGCATTGTTGTCATATCAGCTGTATCAGAATTTGACATCTATTTAACGGTACAGTCAATATTCAGTATATATATATATGTATATATATATGATATATACACATATAAATTATATATATACTGTATTATATAACATTTATATATAATATACATAATATCTATATATTATATATAGATATGTATAAATGATCTGTGATTCTCTTTATAAAGGAGATAATGGTGTACTGTTTTTGTTCACTTATTTTTGAGTACATACTTTTAAACCTTGCATAGTGGAAACAGATGGGATGGTTTGTTTTTGGTTGTTGTTTTTTGTTTTGTTTTGTTTTGCTTTTTGTTTTTTGTTTCTTTTTTAATTTCCCCCAGAAACCTGCAGAGCAGATGTTTTGAGTCCTTTTTTGCCAGGTGGATGTATCAGTATAGTGTTGGCAGGGGCACCTGTGTTCTGTAGGTGGATATTAACACAGTTGCCAACCCTAAGGATTCTTGAGTCTTCAGTCAAAGGAGATTTAAAGGATTTGCTTAAGAATAATGCACTTCCTAATTTAATCAAGCATCCAAGTTAAAGACAGCCTAAAGGCAGCCAGATAGTTGATAAAGGAGTAAGAATGAGTGACCGTACCCACCTATTTGGATAGACATGTTTAGAAAAATGTCATTCAGTTAATAAAATTTTCCAGTTATATATTTTAATTTTATTAAGATTACGAATGAATAGTAAACTGTATTTGCTAATCTGTGTTTTTGTTTTAGGACATTCTGTAAAAGTATACATTGATTCAATGGAGAAATTGTAGGGATGCCTGGGTGGCTCAGTTGTTTAAGGCTCTGACTTCTGCTCAGGTAGTGATCTCACAGTTCATGAGTTCAAGCCCCATATTGGGCTCTGTGTGCTGACAGCTCAGAGCCTGGGGCCTGTTTCAGATTCTGTGTCTCCCTCTCTCTGCATCTCCCACTGTCTCTCTGTCTTTCAAAAATAAATAAACATTTTAAAAAATAGATGAATTCTACTTTATACTCCAGGAAAATATAAACAAAAGGAATGTAAGGACTTCTTTTTTTTTTTTAAGTTTTCAGTTTTTTTTATTTTTATTTTTTTTAATGTTTATTCATTTTTGAGACAGAGAGAGACAGAGCATGAATGGGGGAAGGGTCAGAGAGAGGGAGACACAGAATCTGAAACAGGCTCCAGGCTCTGAGCTGTCAGCACAGAGCCCGACGCGGGGCTCAAACTCAGGGACCGCGAGATCATGACCTGAGCTGAAGTCAGACGCCCAACTGACTGAGCCACCCAGGCACCCCTGTGAACATTAATTTGGAGATTTTTTATGAGGGTGCCTAATGACTGCCATATACTGTGCCAGGTACTATAAATTATAAAAATGAAGGATACCTGCTCTCAGGTCATTCATAGTCTCCTGAAAGACACACTTAAAACAAAAATATTATGTTACAGTGTGGCAAGATCTGCAACTGAGGTAATGCAGGTTGCCAAAGTTATAATCCAGTTGGTAGGTATGTGGGAGAAATACCAAGAGGAGTCCTTTTATATTCTGAGACTTTAATGATTTCTAGAAACTTTGACAGAGCTATAAATGATCTGGTACATGAGCTTTTAAGCTTTCTCTGGAATTAATATGCACTTGCAAAATGCCTCTTTGCTTTCCCAGTCTTTAAGTCATGTCTACTAGAGTGCAGACTATAGAGCCATGCTACCTGGGTTCAGATTCCTGCTTCTCCTCTTCCTAGTTGTATGACCATGAGCAGATTACTTCTCTGTGCTTCAGTTTTATAAAAAGACAAGAGTCATAGTACCTATCTCACATTATTATTGTGAGGATTAAATGAAATGATACATGGAAGACATTTTTGGAAGATTGACTATTACACAGTTACGTTTCAAGAATATTTTAGTTCTTATTATTAATTTTGGAAGCTAATAAACCAAGATCATTGAAATACACCATGTTGATCATTTCACTTCTTCCTAAAGTGCTGTTTTCTGTCAAATAACATTTTCCATTTTTTTCCCTTTCTAGCTCCAAGAGGGAAGCGAGGATGGAAAACATTTTATGCTGTACTAAAAGGAACAGTCCTTTACTTGCAAAAGGTAAACATAAATTAAAAAATGAAGGCCGCAAAATTTTATGAAATGATTTAACAAAGTACCTCCAAAATATTCATTTCATACAAAGAGGCTACATCAAACACCCAAAAGATTATTTAATTGATATCTAAATTCTTTTTTTAGATTTTTTTTTGTTTCTGGTTACAAAATTACTTTAAAAATTATATATATGTGTAATTATGTATCTTACATGAAGTAACTTATGCATAAGGTATTTTATGGTATATATGTTCTATATGTATTTTATAATATATTAAATATATGTAAAAATATTTTGTGTTCAATTATAAATTGTGAATATGGGTTGATAAATCAAGACTCTATGTGGTCTATTCGGGTACAGACCTGTGATAGCACTTGTTCCAATGGTTTTTATACTTATTTATACTATACTTATATCCTCATATATATCCTTCATTATTGCTATGCAACAGTATATCTTCATTTAGTTATTTATCTCATTTAGATCTCACTTAAATCTAGAAACAATTTTCATTCATATCCTGAAGTATTGGTACTTACAGTGCAAATATAATCCAAGTTATCTGTGTAAGTTTTTAACCAAACCATTTCCTGTCAGGATCCTTTCTTCTAATCCCAGAATCTGGAAATCTGTTTGGGATCAATTTTATATGTTCTGACCTTTGAAGGGTAATCTCTGGAGTTTCCACCTCCCTAGCTCTCCATGTGTAAATATGGGAAATTTGTGTGTTAACTGGAATGAGGTCCATCACTTCCCAGGACCCAACAGGATTCTAGCTCCAACTGTGAAGGGAAGCTTGGAATTTGGGCTATTAAGAGGCAAGGCAGTAACAATACTGTCCTCATGGTGACTGATAGGAAAAGTTTTATTTATTTTTATTTTTTTTAATGTTTTTTCACTCTTGAGAGAGACAGAGTGTAAGCAGAAGAAAAGCAGAAAGATACGAGGAGATGCAGAATCCAGGCTCCTAGCTATCAGCACAAAGCCTGACACAGGGCTTGAACTTATAAAATACAAGATCAGGACCTGAGCTGAAGTCGTATGCTTAACCAACTGATCCACCCAGGCACCCCAAAAGTTTTATTTTTTTAATTGTGGTAAAAACATAACATTAGGTCTACCCTTAATTAATTTCTTTTATAGAGGCACAATAGATAGTATTAATTATCAACATAATGATGAACAGTAGATCTCTAGAAATTTTACATCTTGCATGATAATACCTGGTGAATAGCAATTCTCCCACAAACCCTCCCCACTCCCCAACTATTGGCAACAACCATTCTACTTTCTGTTTCTTTCTGTAACTTTGAGCTATTTCATATAAGTGGAGATAAATAGTATCTGTCCTTCTCTGACTGGCTGATTTCACTTAATGTGATCGAGGTTCATCCATGTTGTAACCCCTGACAGAATTTCCTTCTTTTTTATGGCTAAATAATATTTTGTTTTCTACTTAATTTTCTTTATTCATTCATCCATACACATTTATGTTGTTTCTGCCTCTTGGTCATTGTAAATAATGCTGCAGTAAACATGGAAATGCAGATCTCTCTTTGATATCTGGATTTCAATTCCCAGTGATAAGGATAATGCATAAGTGGGATCACTGGATCATATGGTAGTTCTACTGTTTATTTTCTGAAAAACCTCTATACCATTTTCCATAGTGGCTGAATTATTTTAAATTACCACCTATAGTGCACAGGAGTTCGAATTTCTCCACATGGATGTCAACATTATTTATTCTCTGTTTTTTGTTTTGTTTTATTTTGTTTTTAATAATACCATTGTAACAGGTGTAAGATGATATATCATTGTGGTTTTGATTTACATTTTCTTGATTAGTGATGTTGAGCATCATTCTGTATACCAGTGTTGTCTTTGGACAAATATTTATTCAATCATTTGCCCAATTTTTTTAAGCCCAATGTGGGGCTTGAACTCAACACCCTGAAATCAAGACCTGAGCTGAGATCAAGATTCAGATGTTTAAACATTTTTTCCTTTGTATTTCTTTGAATAATTTCAAATTGCTAAATTACTTATCCTTTCTTCTCCTTGCTCAAGTCTGTTGTTTAACCCTTCTAGTGAGGTTTTTAGTTCAGTTATTCTATTATTTAGCTCCTAAATTTCTGTTTAGTTCTGTTTCATGTTTTCTCTTTGTTGATATTCTCATTTTGTGCATGTATCATTTTCTTGAGCACATCAAGCATCTTTATGAGGGCTAATTTGAATTTTTTATCAGGTAATTATATACCTCTCATTATTTAGGTTTGATTTCTGGAGGTTTATTTTGATTTTTTGGTCAAGCCATATCTATTTGTTTCTTCATCTGATAACTTTATATTGGGATCTGCACATCTAAAGTCACCTCTCAGTCTTTACAGACTTGCTTTCTTGTAAGGAGAGTCTTACAGACTCCTTACCAATCTGCTTGGCTACGATTCTGGGGGGCCTCTGAAACTTTTTGGGGGGGATACAGCTTCTCTGTGCCTCTGTATACAGTTTCTCAGGTAGATAGTCTTGCATTCTTCTTTTCAAAGGCTTGTAATTTTTGCTCTCTGGTGTCTATTTATAGCACTGCAAGTGCTGGTTCTACAGAAGCAAGTCACTCAACTCTCTTCTAGTGAGTGGCAGCTAGGCATCCAGAGCATGCCAGTCCCTATCAGTGCCCGAAGTCAGGCAAGATAGATACCAATTCCCTTAGGCAGCCCTCTGTATCTCCCTCCTGAGAGAGAAGACTTAGATTGTGCACCTTTCTCCCAATTTTACTAAGCCATGCTGGCTGCAGCAAGCTACCCACCACTTTCCTTTAGTTTCAGCAGCCTTCAGGTATCCAATCTATGCTGATTCACTCATAATTCTGAGTGAGGCAAATCAGAAACCATTCCTTCAGCAGCCTTCCAGAAAGCCAGAACATCAGAGGTATTCTCCACTTTTCACTTTATCCTGACAGAGAAGTCAAGAGCCAGGGTATTTTTTTTTTTTACATATTTAAATTTTTTTATGTTTATTTATTTATTTTTGAGAGAGAGACAGAATGAGCAGGGGAAGGGCAGAGAGAAAGGGAGAGGGAGAATCCCAAGCAGGCTCTGTGCAGAGCCCGATGTAGACTCGAACTCACAAAACCTTGAGATCATGACCTAAGCCGAAACCAAGAGTTGGACGCTTAACCCACTGAGCCACCCAGGCACCCCGTGGGGTCAGGGTATTTTCTTGCAGTGCTGACCTATGGTAGTTTCAGGGAAGGACTGATGCAGGTAAAATGAAATTGTTCTTCTTTCCCATTTTAATGTGGTTCTTCTTGGCTTTTTGCTGTCCTAGAGTACCGCAACCTCTTAACTGCATTCTAACATTTTTACAAAGGCATTTTGATGCATGTATCATGGTTAAATTGTGTTTTTGTGGGGGAACAAGAACTGAGACTTTTTATTTTGCCATCTTGCTGATATCTGCTTTTTTTTTAATCTGATTTTGGGCTATGATATGGTTTTGGTATCTTTTCTTTTTACTTCAGTTATTATCATAGCATTCCTAAGTGAAATTTTTTTTAGAAGTGTATTTTCAGCCGATTTTTATTTATGAATAATGGTGTGTGTGTGTGTGTGTGTGTGTGTGTGTGTGTATCTGTGTGTGTCTGTGTGTTTGTACACATATGTGTGCCTATCTGTTTGTACACATATGTGTGCCTATCTGTTTATACACATACGTGTGCACATACCTGTTTGTTTCCTGAAGATAGATTCCTAGTAGTGTCATGGGTCACAGGGTCAGGATAGGAACTGCTTAAAATTATTGAGGCATAATTCTAAATTACTTCTGAAGAGGCTGAACCAACATTCATTCCCAACAGGTGTTCATTTCAATACTGTTTCATCATAACCTCTCCTCCCCACATTAATTGTTGATATTTGGATATTTGAAGAGAAAGTTCTCGTTCATTTTGAACTTTCTGTTTTTAAGGTACAAACACATGCCCTTATATATTTTATACTCTTCCATAGCTGCCTTTCCATGTGTGTATTTCTCTGGGAAAGGATCCTTCCCCTTGATATAACATCTACAATACCAAATCAGATAGCATCCCTTGTATGATGGTACCCACACGTGTACCACTGAGATAATAAAATGGCTTTGGAATGGAGATATCACTACTGGGTAGAAATATATTTGATTTATTTTTATTTAATATTTCAAACAAATAAAATGCTCTATATTATTAAATTGAATGAATTATTTAATTTAAAAACCACCCTTCCTTAGGAGTCTACCCAGATGACTATTTAAAAGGACTTGGAGTTCACTATATTATATCCTATACCAACATTTTGTATATTACCAGAGCAACTTTGTAAGGAACACTTTTATAATTCTCTTGTGTTCTATTATTTATTTGAGCTTTTTTTCAGATGTCTTCATTCGGAAGGACCATATCTGACACAAACTCTTTTGCTTTCTTCCTTTTGTAATAGATTATGTAAGGAATATTAGAGCATGGCATGCTTCATCTTAGCACGGAGTTCTCTTTGTGGGCAAATTACCTTTGCAGAAAGAGTTGTGTGTGAAACACAAAGATTACAAAGAATTTGCAGCATCTTCTAAAATTTACACATTACTTTGAGGGACAAAACAAGAGAAATGAAGACTGTTGTTATTAGATTATCTACGCTCTTACATGGTCAGATATCTTGTATTGTCTTTATTTCCCTATGGAGCCAGTACAGCTTGTAATTTATAAGTCAACTGCTTTGGCCTTTGCCAAAGCAGCATGTGTGTTCATGCTGAGCCCGCATCAGTCCTTTCAGCTAGCTTTGTCTTCGCAAGAAACAACCCTTTGAAATTAAATTTTACATAGCACAGCTGTTGCCTGGGCAGAAATCCTATTCTTTGGCTTACTTTTTCATTTTCTCTAAAATCTCTGTAAAAGGCATGGCTGTCTTTGGTAAGTCCATTTCATTGAATACAGAGCCACAGGATTTCCACCCACTCCACCTCA